CAGACTCCTGTATACAGGTGGATGTGTGCTTTGTGGACCTGAGTGTCCATGGAGGAGCTACTGCCTGGGTATTCAGAACCTCCCTCCACAAATCTGTCACAGCAGTGCAAGTGACAGGACAAAAAAAAGATCTGTAGGTCAAATGGATTTAAACCTAGATTGCTGTGTTAGGCTGCAGCTCCACCACGGAGTCTGTGCATGCTCAATTAACCCAGATGAATTAACTGATCCAGATATTTGCACTAAATAAAATCGACTAGTACCTAACAACAGGAATATTTTGCTAGTAAATTAGGGAGCCACAGAAGGTCAGAAGTCACCTAGATAATTTCATGTCTTTTCCTGAGTCACTCAAGACAGACAATTTAATCTTTTGTCAAGCATGGTGGTATGTCAGTCACCTCACTACTGTACAAAGGAAAGAGAATCAAAGTGAGAGTAACTGGTTTCAACCCCCTCAGACCTCATTCACCTCTGTTCCCCGTAGATGCTGTTTTAGATGCTGCGATTAGAAGAGGTTGAACACAAAAGAAATGCTGAATAACAAGCAAGTTTATGCAAGTTCACCATCAGTGAACTGAGAAATTTTTCTGCTTGTCATTTCTGAATCTGCTGGGGTCACCAGCTTGTTAAAATGACTGTAACAGGAAAGAGGGAAGGGTGAACAATAATCAGCAGTGTAGGCACCTAGAGTCTTTAGTGTAGATGCCTTAAGCACCTTCTTAAGCACCACAGGGAGAGATGGGCTCCAGCCCACCAGAACAGCTCTGTGCTGCCAATCCCCCTTGCAGGGGCCAATCTCTCCCTTCTGACCAGGCAAGCCCTCAGAGATGTTACCTTCTGAACTTGGCCAAGCTTTCAGGGGACCACTGGGTCTGTCCAACAGCAGTCAGATGACAAAAGGCACCTGTTGTGTCTCTACAATCCCACCTGTGTGGTCTCACCCCCTCCTTTGCTTTGACTGTGAAATTCCCCTGTCTCTTGGCATGACCCAATTTTCTCATTCCGTTGCCATGGTTGGGTTTTGCCATCTCAGGGTGCCAGAAGAGCTCAGTGTGGGACATGCCAAGGCCAGACACAGGGATGGGGGCAGTCCAAGAATGGGGACTGGACCTTGCAGCCATTCCAGCTTAAATCACTATGGAGCTACAGAGCAGCTTTAGTACCTGCAGTTAGGCAATGTGAATATCACACCAAGCTGCCTCCCTTGAGGTGCAAACCCAGTCATTTACAGCACGTTTTACTATGCTACAAGCATAGCAGTGTTTGACTCACAGCCACAGAAACTCCTTAAGACACTAAACAGGGCTGATAGCACTCCACAGGGTAAAGAGACAAATAACCAACTCAAGGCAGCACTGGATCCTGAAGGAGGATGCAACATTAGACAGTCAGAAGAGAAAAAGGAATAAAAGCAGCCAGGCAGGCTTTAATCTAATGATGCAGTGAGGCAGTTGTGCAAGGACACTGTCAGCTTCTGCAAAGGTACAGTGGAAATATTAGCACACTGTCAGTGTTTCTATCTTTAGAAAACTATTTAATCTCAACATTCATTCCACAGCGTGTGATGGCATTGAAGGTCCACAAACCCTAAAAATGAATATTCCTGATATGAAATAGAGGGAATTGAAAGGTCCTTACTAACTTTTGGTCAAGAATCCTTAATCCAAACTGATGTTGGCTCAGTCTTACAAAAGTGGCATAAACATTGCCAGCCAGGTACAAAATCCATTTATTATTATTAACCTGGCACAAGTGTAAAATAAATGAGAACTAATGTATTCAGCTACCCAAGACAACATAATTTCCCATGGTGTGTGTACTTCAGAAGTCTTGATCAATCTGATGGTACCCTGTGATGCAGAAATGCAACTATTAACTAGCCCAGCCTGCATCCGAATTAACACGACCCAGCCACCGAGCACACAGCACCAGTAGCTACAACAAAGCTGAGGACAATGTCTGCCCCCTGCAGAGTGACGTGGATGAAACTAACATCTCCTACTAACTTCATGTCTGGAGCAAGGCCTGAGGATCTTAATCTAAAGTTTAACAGTGTATATTTTTATTCTATGGAGAGTTAGTAGCATTTGTAGGAGAGGGTAGGAAAGATCTACAATTCCTTCAAGCATTTCTTCTCACCCCTGTGGTCCACATAAATCACTGAGAGCCCTGAGAGTGTGGCAGATCAGGTCTTCAAGTCATTGGCAAGTTTAAACTTTGCATAAACAGTGCTAAAATCAGTGGCTGTCCATACTACAGAAATTTCCATTTGCTCTAAATTGTGAGTGCGTGGCAGATCAGGTCTTCAAGTTTAAACTTTGGCAAGTTTAAACTTTGCATAAACAGTGCTAAAATCAGTGGCTGTCCATACTACAGAAATTTCCATTTGCTCTAAATTGTGAGTGCTATATCACATCCCTTCAGTTAAGACCTCTTTTCATCAAGGAAGCCAGAACAGATTTCCTTTTTTTGGCTAAACGTCTCTTAAAACACATTCTGATGATCTTTCCGGTAATGCTAACACATGTTTTCTTCAAATAATGTAGCTGCACAGAAATAGTTCTGATACACAGTAACTCCAGTTCTTTGTGGTGTGTCACGGCGCACTGTTTACATTTATTCACTGCGACAGTGCCACATTAAACTAACTAACAAATGCTTTTGAAAAAAGTTGCTGCAAATAAATTTAATTTTCTCCTCTCCCCATCATCTACTTCACACAACCAGGTTTTGCCCCTTTACTCAGGCTGAGTAGTTAATTGAATTTAGTCTGAGCAAAGAATGATCTTGCATTATCTCTATGTGCACACAGCGCACTTGCAATTGTTCTGGATACTGTGTAAGAACCTGCAAGACATATATGAATTTTCCCCAAGACAAACCATGTAGCTGCTACACAGCCAAGATCACCTCACTGCTCTACACTAGACTGGAGTAAGTCACAGTCCTAACATGAACACAGGTGTGCCTCTGTCTGCCTGGATTAATGCAGCAGGGTTGTCCTCAACCTCAGCTGTTTGCATCACTCAAAGGACAACTACATCACTTTGCACAGCTTCTATTAAAAGCACTCCATGTGAGTGATTTTTAGCAGAGGAGATGCTCTTTTGGGAGCAAATTTGTCTTTGATCTATAACTAGGATGTTGCAATAGGCAATCATCCATAACACTCATAATGTGGGTGTGGGTTCTTTCAGCAGCCAGCTCTCTGCACAAGAGCAGCAGATACTGTGGCCAGAAAATGGCAAAAATCTCTCAGCTGGGGAAGAAAAAAATGTGGTTTGTGATGTTGGAACTAGAACAGATCACAGTCAATCAAACCCCTGTGCTCCCTTTTCCATTTACCAGCTGGTAATGCAGATGGACTCATCAGCTCAATTCTGCTGTCTTTGTTTCTGTTAAAGACTCTACTGACATTCAGAGGTCAGCAGTAGTGGCATCAGTTATTGCCTCAAAGCACTGTGTATTTTTTACCCCTTTTTTCAAAAACGGACTTTATTGCTCATATTGCAGTCAGAATTTATGAACACTTCTGCTTGGGTAGGAGTAATACTGGATTCTGATACCATTATTTCTGGAAATGGATCCAGATGCTGACTGTGTTTCAATCAACAGACCTGTAACCATAATGATTGATTCTAATACTTCCAGGAGTGTTTGTGTGATTATAAAACTCCTGCAAGGTAAGCATTCAAATATTACAATACAGTAATGCTCTTATGAAGTATAAATTTAGAAGGCTTTTCTGAATCTTATTTCATAAGGTCCAATTCATTTAAGTGGGATTTTTTTTGCAGATATAATCCTCAAAGAGTGGAATACTGAATGCTCTTTAAATCAGTTGATTTGGGATTTAATGTTGCAGCAGCAAAAGGAATTTTACTAAACAAATTACCTGATAGTATCTGAGTGTAAAAGAAGGACACTCTATCTTTGAACTAACCATTCAAAGGACTCTCAAAAGAGTCATTGAAACTCTTATCAGAATCTGGTTATTACAATTTTTAAATTTTGTTTGCTTGCTTGGTTGGGTTTTGTTTTTTGTTTTGTTTTTTTTTTTCTCCAGTAGAACATATAAGCATGTAAGGAGTAATACCTAGGGTACAACTGCTTGTCAAAGCTTCTGTAAATGTTAAAGTAATTCTTCCCACTGGGCTGATATTTTACTTTCTCTCGCTGCAGGATGTTGCTCCATATGTGTTCTTGGACCATATGGAAACCTTAAAGAACTACACAGGTTATAAATTAGGGGAATATAGTCAGTTTTCTCATACATCCTGGTGTAGAAGAGCTTGGGGTTGATGGTAAGAGGAACATTCTTCTAATAATGCTTTGTGTAGTTTCACTGTCTGCAGTCCCATATGAATACAAGCTATACTACATGACAATAAATTGAATTATAGGCTTGGTACCCATCATTTTCCTAATGGAAATTGTATCTCATGTATGAGCCAAGACACAGAACTGGAATAGAAGAATGTGTGCAAAGTCATGCCCTACCAGGACCCTGGGGACTGTAGTATGGAACCAGGTTCACAGTCCTTATTTGGAGTTTAATGGGACCCTAGATTGGAACACAAGCAAGTAGAGTGGTTTATAAAAAACTGTAAAGCTCTGGTCTTTCATATACTTGTTCTCATAATTAACATCACTCATATGAGTGATCCCATTAAATCCACAGCATCATCTATTGCTCACAAAATGAAAGCCCATTAAATCCACAGCACTACTTACTGCCCACAGAATGAAAGCCCATAAACCACTTAACTACCTCTGACCTGAGGGATTTTCTCATCTGTGCACCCTGGGACAAACTAAGAATGACATGGCTCTGAATTAATTACTCCTCTGCAGCTCTTCTCATCACTTCTCTCATGTAGAAAAATGCCAGTATTTACAGGATGAAGTTTTTAATTGAAAACGTTCACTGCCAACTCATGCAGCCACCATACAGAGACTATTGCCTACACTATGTGATGTCAACAAAACCAGAGATCTTATGTCAAAACATTTTAATGATCCTCTAGAAGCAAAACATGATGAATGTCACATATTGCCACCATCCTGAGATTGTGCTTTGCTACCATTAAACCAGCAGTAAGGAGTAGAATTTTTCAGATAATGGTTACTTTGTATTTTAAAAAAGGATCACTCAAAATTTTTTAAATGTAGCAGTCACTGTGTGAAAAAAATCACTCCCTTTTCTCCCCAAGTGCAAAATATTTCTCTATTGTAGCATTATTGTAGAACTGTATTATATGCAGTTTAATGCTCACAAAATCACATCAGATCAAATCCAACACCGAACTGCTGAGATATACACAAATTGTCTCCTTAGGATCATCACCCTGAAAGTAAAACAATAAAATATGTTATTGGTATTTCTTGTTTAGTAGAAAAACCTGCTTGTTATACTTGAAATAAGCCAATAGTTTAGTCTTTGTATGCACTGCACCTTCTGCATCAGCTTTTCATCTGTATTTCAGGCTGTGAGTCTGTGAGATCTATTATACAGAATCACAGGCTCTCAGAATTTCCCTGGCTAAGCTGGAATGCTCGTGCCTGGTCTAACTTGAGCATCTGCTCTTTCTAAAGGAAGACTCCTTCGTTTGGAAACCCCCAGAATTGCTCACACTTATCCCAGCTGGTCCACATTCTTCAGGCTTCCTAAGCTAGCCAGTATCTTCATGGGGACACTTCCATTGCTAATTTGAATATGGATATGTTCTAAATTATATTATCTTACTCATATTTTGAAATCGCCAGAGATTGCAATTATTCCTTTTCCTCAACAGGATAGTTCTGCTGTGGAAAACAAACCCAAAACCCTCCTAGGTATATAAATACTTTTTCATTTGAATTGAAATCTAACAAAAATTGTCATTTGACTTAATCTATACTTTTCTATTCTGATAGATTTTAACTAAACCAGAAATAATTTGTCTCCACTTGTTTCATTACTGACATTATTCTTAACAGATAAATTTAATTCACTGAATGCATGGGCAAAGTGTGCTTAAAAGTTGTACTGCAGGTATTCTAAGGCATAAAACCCTTCTTTCAATATCTACTAACTTCACATTAGATAATATTTGCCCAAGTCAAGAACAGTCTGCAATATTGCTGCCTGACAGGAATCCAGAGGTGTCCTTACTTTAAAATGTGGTATCATTTTGTCCAAGGTAATTATAACTGAACTGTGGTTTAGTTCTTATTTCTCTAGCTGCACTGGGACACCACAAGCACAAAAGACTTTCAACAGAATTTAAGCTCATGTTGCCGTTATAAATAGGTTATGTGTAACAGTATTTATCAAGTACTTGGATTGCAACAAATTCCAAGATTGAAAAAATATCACATACTGACAGAGTTTGGAAAAAAATTTATTCTTTTTGATGTTAGCTGCTGAGAAGAAAGTAAGCAGGTTAGAGGATGCTGCTCTGGCAGCTCCAGCTTGAGTAGAGGGAGTCACTGCTGCTCTTTGTCAGAAATAGATCACATTTAATCATTTGGTTGGAGTTAAAAAACTCATACCTACTTTTTACTTTCCAGGTAAGATATGTAGGGGAGAGTTCAGTAGTTTTTACCTCCAAACCACCTGCACGCCTCTGCTCAAGCCCTCCTCCCTCAGTCCTTCTGCTCAGACAATTAAGCACTATTTTCTTCCCCAAGCTCAGAGTCTCAGTTTCATTCTTCCTTTGTCTGTTTTTATTGTGTTGACTGACTTCTCTGAGCAGATGCTTAAAGTTACTGCTTTGTATGTCAAAGCAACACATACTCATCTGCCCTGCTGTCTTTTCCTAGCAAACAGAAAACCTGATGGACTCTTGGTCAGACAAAATTTGCATTTTAACCAGGCTTCTGGGCAATCAAATTTATGCCAGTCTGATTAATTTATCATCTGACAATTTTTCTAATCACATTTTTTTTCTATTTTTAAATGTGAATTAGGTCATTTCCCCTCCTTGAACCTACATTTACTTGAAGCTAATGGCATGCGCTTATCAGGTTAAACCAATGAACAAATAAGACTTCCTTCAGCTGCACAGCAAAGATGATTTGGTAATCTAATGAAAAATAATAAAGATCATTAATTATATTTCAAGATTTTGCTGTTACTGCATTTTCTGCTTGACCATCTGTGATAGGTGGGCACTGACTTTAGTCACAACCTGTACATGTCTGTTGAACATAATCATAAAAGTACAGGAGAGGATATTAAGGTAAAAAAAAATTTCCACTGACAAGGATGGTGTTTAGGAGCAATATTACCAAAAATGATTCACTGGGATGCAAATACACTCTCCCTATAGGTGCTCCTAGCAGAGAAGCTTCCTTCACTTCTCATTTACAGCAGCAAACTTTTGTATCCCAGTAATGTGTGTGGGAGGTTCTGCCTGAGCCTTCTATGGGCACCCACTAGTGTAAGGAACCTACAGATACCCACTAAGAGGAAAGAATACAGAACATGGAGAAGAACATAAAATGGAAACTGAAAAGAGAAAGGATATTGTTGAATTTTTAGAAAAGGTTATCAGTAAAATATACTCATTATAGAATTTCAATTATCTCTAATAGTTGCTAATACTTGCAGAATGGTAGCTCATACTGAAAGCATTTATTTGGTTTTCTCTTTGTAAATATAAGTGCATATAGAGCAGCACAACTTATTCTTCCTGTGGTTTTTTTTTTTTTCCTTTACAGCTTATTTGGCAATTTTGGCCACAAGTGGTTTTCAGTCTGTCAAGCATGGACAGCATTTAATTAATACACATACAGATACTTAAACATTTTTGTGGCTTCTATCTTCTTCTCTCTAGAGTAAATATTTCTAAGGAGCTGGCTTTCATTTTCTTAGCTCATGTAGTTACTACAATTTAAATTACACAGTATGTCTCCAATGATTTATATTATAGGAATAACAAATACAATGGAAACTGCTGGATATAAAGAGCTTAGCCACTAAGAAAGAGTTATGTATTTGTTAACCTTTCCAATACGCTCCAACCTTTTACAAGCAAAAAATGAAAGTGCATATACATCCAGTTCAGTTCCTCCTAGGTAATCTCCTGCCATGGGCTAGGAGAATGGATTCACTATATGGATTCTAGATCCATTCTCACTGGTTTTGTATTATTTTAATAATCTGAAAGCCATTTATTTTTTTATTTCTTAAAAAAGCCCTTGTAACTGAATAAAATTCTGCCTTCCTGGTACTAACAATCTGCTATTTTAAAACTTAGCATTCTCTGATGATAAAGTAAGTGTGAACATATCTTTGACAACATGTTTTCTAAATATCAAAAAAGGATATTTTCAAATACATTTCAGAACCTAGCCAGAAGAAAAGTGCCTTTAGCTTTTAAGCTTGAAATTTCTGGTTTGAACAAGATGATGCTATTTATTTAACTTGAGTAATACAGTCATAAGACTACATCAGTCCAATTAAAGTATATAGTATACAATGGCAGTTCTACTGTACACTTCACTTAGTATTATATTAACTTGGACCCCGTGGAAAAATAGAGGTCTGTGAAAGGAGACTCTGACAACAGCATTGTGAGCTCAGGAATTTCTGAGTTAGCTTAAAAGATGCAGATGTATTTATACAAATTGGTTCTACTTTGTCAACAGGGTAAATCAAGATTGAAAACATGCAGAGAAATCTTTTCAAAGTCATCTCTGTGTGTACACAGTAAATTGGCTCAAGGTCAGAGGCCAGACTGTGCTGCATTTCTCTGAGGCAATACACAGAAGGTAGAGGTCCAAAGGGTTGGGACAGAGAGAACAGAGGGAAAAGGAATGACTCTTCATGCTATATTTGTAACTCCCAGATTCTGAGCTGCCTCTAGGTAAAATGCTCAGCAAGATCTGCTGTAGTGTATGGCAGCTCCCTCACTGCTGTCCACAAGCTGCTCTGCAGCCCTGGGCCATGAGCACACGCTGCTCAAGTCTTTACCCTTTAACAAGAGGCAAAGAGGCCAGAGATGCATGCTTCCCCTCATGGAACAATCCCCATCCTTACTCTGCTCTCTGTAAACACATGGAAAAGCTGGGCCAGGATTAGGTGTCTCCTGGAGATCACAGTGTGTGAATGCCTTTAGATTCTTAAAGGAGGCTGGTACCTGGGAACTGATACCAAACCAAGGCTGGCAGAGACATGTATCTGAGATAACGGACATGTATCTGACTGACTATGATTTATGGGGATAATTTGTACTTAGCTATGATCCCCTTCTAATATTCACAACTGGAAAACATTTCTCAACTCTGTGATTCATGTTTATTCAGAAGTATTCAATCTTTCACTTATTTGGAAATACTACTTTCATTGAGTAAGGTAGAAATGTCTCTCTAAGGAAGAACAGACTCACACTTTGTAAAACAAGTTTTCCCTTAGCACAGTAGTGAAATAAAGATACTTCATGTGGTAAGAATGGGACCTACCTTTTTAGTCCGATTCACATTTACCAAACTGCAACTTCAAAATGCCTTTGCCATGAAGCTCAAGGATCTGGTTATATTCTTTGGGCATTGCATGGAAACCTGGCTTAGGCAGCTGGTTGTCATAATAGTGGTGGCTGATTGGCATCTTCTCCATGGATTTTGAGAAAGGCCAGAAGCCATAGAGCTTCACATTCTCACACAGCTCAAGAGCAGCACTAGTGATCATAAAACCAGATGACAACCGGTAGGCCTTCACACCCTTAGTTCTCCAGAACTGGGCAAGACTTTTCAGATAAGTGGGGTGAAAAAATATTGCCCTTTGGGTTGCTTTGGACTCTTTCAGAGTGTGGTATACTTTAAAAGAAGTGGCTGTGTTGCTCCTGAAGGAAAATGCCGGCAGTAAAAGAAAAGCATCTCCATAGACTGCAATGTTTTCCAGAAATTCTGTCTTCTTTTCATTTAGCTTGTTGTACCTGCAAAGTACAAAATTTTAGGAATGGAATGTGGTATTCCTACATTACAGACCAGAACAGCACAACTGCACTTGCAAAGATGTTATGAACTCTGCTGTAGCAGTTCAGCCTGTCTACACTGCAAAATTATATCACCCTATTATATGTTGTCATATGTGCAGCTATGAAAATTTGGCTCTTGTATAATAAGAACACACTACATAGGACTGAACTGGCAACACAAGAGATACTGAAGCAGATCAAATTCACTGCTAATGAGACTAGGACTTCTCTATGTTTAGAGAATTTATCAATTCAAGAGATTAGGAAGAATGTAAAAAAATATTGTGCTCATATTTTCTCTGTTTAAAAATACATGCAGTAAAATATCTACTGTATGTATTTGTGAAGCGTGCTTCTCACATCAACAGGTATACTAAAATCTGTCTTCAAAATCTCTGTGTACCCTGTGTGAAAATCCAAGGATGCATGTGAGCAGTCTTGGAGTGTTAAAGATTAGTGTGTGCTCAAGTGCAGGATATACTTTTAAAATAGCTAAAAATACAGGCATCCCTGTTTATGTCCTTCAACTACAAAGGGAACACAAGGAGATTTATAAAGACTTAGAGCTCTAATTTCACAAATGACAAGGATTTATTCTCAGATGCTTTCAGTCACCAACAAAGAGTCTTAGTTCTCACCACTGCGTAATTCTGAGCTCCCAAATACTGACTAGTGAAATTCCCAAGTTATCTGAGAAGTGACGCAAACAAGGGGGTCACTCAACTCATGTCCTCTATAGATCTGAATTTCTGAATCACCTACACACAGGGAGCTTCCCCTCTTTTGGGACCCAAAGGACTGAGTCCTCTTTTGTAGGTAGTTGTCTATTTGAGCAGAGTATTTTCACCTTTTAAAGGCTATCAGAGTCCACTTTTTACAAACAACTCCAGCAGAAGCTGGACAAATTGGCTTCATTTCCCTTCACAACTTGAGCAGGTTCAAAACCTTTCATGCAGCACTTTGAAACAGAGAACAGCAGCCACTGCCATTTCCATTGAAAGCATTCATGGAAGAACTACCTCTTGCACAACTAGTGCAAGGAGTGATACACCTTTCTCAACCTGAAGGGGTTTAAACATACAGCTTCTATTCCCAGAAAAGTACCATTGCCACCAGACTCTGAAACAAAATGAAATAGAGGGACTCAGGCCCTCCTTTTGACCCTGAACCTATGTGCATGCAAGAGTCACACAGCCAAAACAAGCAAGAAATGCCTGTGCCTATGTCTAGGAAAAGTGGTTGAAGGGTGAATTTCTGGCCTCTGCTACCAGAATTTTCTCTGTTTTTACTCACTGTAAAATACTGAGCCTCCAGGACAGAATTCAAATCTCTACTCTTCCTTAGCTAGAAACCTGGATAATTCAACAGTGTCTCAATCTCCTTTCCAGCTCTACCACTGTAAGAAGTGTAGGCAGTTTAATTACGACACATAAGAGCTGTGCTTTTCTTCAAGAGAGTTCACCTGCATTTTACACCCTGACAAACACAGTTCAAAAGCTGATTAACCTTAACAATAATAACATCAGACTAAGCCAGTATGCAAACAAAGAATTAGAAATTACAGAGAATAATGCTGGAATAGGTCTTCTGAGAGAAGAAACAAACTTGGTTCTGCTAAATGGTACCAGGCTGCTTCCTCCTGCTTCTTCAAAAGCATTTACAGTTTTCTCTGAATATTTAAATAAATACTTTTTTAAACTCATAAGTCCTCTTGTACTCTCACTTAATCCTCCCACAGGTTTATCTCCCATTTTCTTCAGCGTAACTCTTATTAACCCTAGTGTGACTTGATTTGGTGAAAAAATGAGTACAGCTGTGGCAGAACACTTTGATTATACCCAGAAAAATTGTGGATCAGATCAGAAGTCACCAAGGATGCTGAGTCATTGGACAATTTCCCTTCCTCATATCCCTGTGCAGCCCCACTAACATCAATGAGCTAAATCTAGTTTTGGAAAAGCAATAATTCATTAAAGTCAAAAAGGTTTGGGTAAGCATTAACATAGTTAGTACTCATTGCAAAAAAATGAAGTTCTATCCTTGAATCAACGAAAAATGCCTGTTATTAATTTCTATGTACTCACTGTACCTTTTCCTTCTTCCTTTCAAGGAGAAAAAAAAAAAGCTTCGCCTTATGTTGTCTTTTTGACAATACAGTTATGACAGACAATAAAATACAGTGAGATTAGCAAGCAGTAAATAACATGGCACAGCAGTCCTTTTCATAGATAAGCTGCAGTTCCAGCCTGCTGAAGATGTCAGATTAGTCAGGCTGGCCTTATTAGATTTTCTTTTCATCAAGAAGGTGAAAAAACCCCCACCCCTGCTGAGAAAAAAGTGTGTGAGCAAGCAGCTTTCATACGAATTGAAAAAATGGATTACAGAAGCTGGGCCTCCATTCAGGAAACAGCCCTCATCAGAACAGCCTCCAAGCACATTACCTAGGAACACGTGCTCACAGTCCTGCTGATAGAGTCAGACACACATTTCCAGGCTTTCCTGATTTATGATTACAACTCCTTTCTAAATGCTTGGGGTCATGAGGGTCATGGAGGAAAAAGAAGAGGCTTGGGCTTACAATCACCAATTTTACTCTGCCATAAATTGCTGACTAGTATCAGCCAAGGTATCTTACTGATCTGGGTATTGCTGACTCCTTTATGCTACAAAAAAGGCCAAGCTTAGAAGATTTCCATTTAGATTAGTACATATTTTACATGGAAACTAAGGTTTAATGAAGTAATCTACCTGCACTGCTCTCTATGCTGGTATCCCACTGGATTTCCATGAAAATCTAAATCATGTCAAACAATTATACACCATTGCACAGAAACAGATTTGCAGTAGTACTCACTTCTGAGATATGATACTCGGATTAACAGTCACAAGGTTTGTTTTATTGCCAACATCTTTGCTAATGTTTCCTGTGGTTGGAGGGAGGTTACACCTGAAATTGAGACACATTTGCTTAAACAGATGTGCACCAGAAATGATTTACAGCTATTATTTGCAAATTCCTCTCTTGTGCAATGACACTTTCCCGTCAGCTCCCAGGGATGTCTAAGCACTTCACAAATATTAAATAAGGCTTACAGCATTTCTAGTGAAGATATTTAATCTACTGTACAGATGGTTAAAATAGGGCACAGAGAGCTCATTTTCATAAATCGTATCACAAACCAGGAGCACAGTCAAAGTCTCAGGAGTCTATGAATGCCCTATGCTGGCTGCTAGGAAATATTGCCCCTCTTGCCTAAACAATGCATTCCTGCTGAAAGTCTTCTACAGTGTCTTCTAACAACAGCATAACTTGCCCTATTGCAGAAACAGTGATTTCTGTAAAATGTAAAGAAAGCATTTTCTTAAATTCAGGCACTTAGTAAGTTTAGCATCACAGTACAGAGACTTCCCATTTTTCCCATTTTTATTAAAACAATTATCTAACTGGAAAGACTTTTTTTTTTTTTTAGCTTTTCAGAAGCTCAAATTTTAGGAAAGAATAAAAAAGGAAATGAAATCCAGCATGCTGTGTGATTGGACATCACTGAGGAAAGAACCCTCCCTCTGTTGCTCTGCTTCTTTGCATGAACTACAAACTGTGAGTCACATACTGAGAGAGTGGGCAAAATTACACTCTGAGTGTGCCTGGTTTTCTCACAGTCTATCCAGGGAGATTAAAAACACTACTTAAATAAATGCTTAATTTTTAATATGAGTAACAGATGTAACAAATATTGGGGCAACTGAGTAGCTACATAGGTGAGCCAAACTATGGCTAAGTAAACACTTTGTTAAACCAAAGATACACATGTGACATTTAAAACCAGTCTCCTAAAGGATGCTAAATGACCAGAAATATCAGGTTCTCAGATAATCACGTTTCACATCACTGCAAGGTGACTTAGCAATCACAGATTATACATTATCATCCAGCATGCTCTTTAATTAGAAAGCAGCATTCTGAAAACTACAAAGCAGAAGTATCCTCTAAAGAGGCAGAAATAACAAATTGTCTAGATTCTTCCTCATTGCTACAAACTGGCATTGGCACGCTTCCAATCCTGCCAAGTTTTTAGAATGTTGGACACACTTCAGGAAAATGAAGCAGGTCTTACCTAAACACAAAGTCAGAACTATCAATTTCAGCTCCACAGCTGGAATTTTTCAGAATGCCTCCATTTCCAACCACAGCACAGTTCTTGAAGGGATAGACTGAAAGAGGAGAGGACTGCAAACAAATAAAAAGATGCAGCAAATTCTTTGTAAGTGTTTTGATTGTTTCTTTGTGTCTATTTGCTCTTGCAGGTTTAAACTGGTAAATCCCAGTAAAAGCATTCACCATTTAGCGGACAGGATTGCCAAACCTGGACAGCCAAGAGCCAAAAGTAGGCACCAACAGACAGAGAACTGTTACCTCTGCTATCAGAACTTTGAGAGAATAATACTGGATTGTTAAAATTGGGTGCCTTTTAAATACACTTAACACTAAAACTATCAAGTAGTGGATTGCAACATAGACAAACTAAGGAACTAATTTATACTGAAGATAGTTTAAAGTTACCCATTTTCCTTTGCACTGTAACAGACTGGGGGTTGTCATACAGTAATTTACTTTCTCAGGTAATAGAAGGCAACTTTGTAAATTCTCCTCACTTTTGTCATCACGCAATTACATTTGAAGCAAAATACTGAATTTAGGGGAACCTGAAGATGCTGTAAACGATAATGATGTGCCCTGGCTTAACTCTTTGTGAAAGAATGTGAGGCCTCACAGAAGAGGTTACTGTTTCTGGCTGTTCACCCTCTCTGCTCCTCTTCTTGTTACAGCTTGCTGTCTTGCAGTGGGGAAGCTGAGTGGGAACTAAGTGCATCCACTTGAGAACCAGCACAGTTCACAACCTAGAAAATTAATGCAAATTGTTGGCTATTTAGGCTGACGTTAATATAGCTGGCTGCTATCCCAGTCTCAGAAACTTTTCATACATCTTGCTCAACATCTTGTGCTGTGGGAGCACTGACATTTATCAGAGGCCAACAGCTGGGATATTTTGAGTGCAGAAATTAAACACAGTTGTAAAAGTCAGTCAAAAACTTGCTTATGGAAAGCATTATCCTTCTTTCTTCTCTCATCAGCTTGCCCAAAGAGAAGCAAGAAGGGACACTGTTATGAACAAGGCAAAAAGTGTGGGGAACGTGGCAAACATCATATTTGCCTGGCAATATATTACAGAACAACATGTTCAAATATTTTGTTCAGTTCTGGAAGGATGGTAGAAGAACACAAAGGCCAGGCAACTCTGGCTGTCTTAACATGTATATGTGCATATAAAGCATACTACTTTTTCATTTCTCCAGCTTAAATTTGGAATTACTATATCCTCTAGCAATAAAGTCAGTAAAGACTGATTCACAGCAGTATTAGGAAGAACTGGGATGGTAGCTGGGATCTCACAAATTAAGAATGCCAGAGATAGGTAAGAGGGCTTCCATATGCCCTTAGCTTCAAGGAACCGAATACAAACTCTTTGTCTAGTCTCAAGATCTTGTATGTCTACTGTAATCCTGAGGTACAAAATCGGATTCCTTTTCTCATCCTGTGATTCTTGCTGCAAACACCCTCCCCCAGTGGGTAACTAAGCTAATGAAAGGGCTGGAAGGAATGTCCTATGAAGAGTGACTGAGGGCTTTGGACTTGTACAGTTTGGAGAAAAGAACAGATAATCTCATTGCTCTCTGAGGAAGGGAAGGGGAGAGGAAGGTGCTGATCCCTTCTCCACTGTATCCAGTGACAGGACACTCGGAATGGCTCCAAGCTGCACCAGGGGACATTTAATCTGCACATTAAGAAGCATCTTTTTACCAAGAGGATGGTCAGTTGCTGGAACAAGCTTCCTAGAGAAGCTGAGGTCCTCAGGTGTCAGTGTTTAAGAGGCATTTAGACCATGTCCTCAATAACTTGCTTTAACTTGGTCAGCCCTGAACTGATCAGGCAGTTGGACTATGTGATCATTGTGAATTCCTTCCAACTGAAATTTCTCTGTTCTACTCTATTATGTTCTGTGCTATTCTGTATCAGGTTTACCACCAAAATATCTTTCATAACTTACATGCCCAAGCCTGCACTGGAAATGGCATGGGCATATGAGGAATATGAAATGTTCTTCCAGATTGAAATGCCTTTAAAAAGGGACATGACAAAAGCAAGGCAAACATTTCCAGAGTATTTGCTCCTGAATTCAACTGGCTGCCAAGCCAGTGTTCTGTAGCAACTCTACCTCCAATCTATGATCTATGATATCTGTAAATGCCTCTACCACTGCAGAGGAAGGGGAAAAAACCTCCAAAAATACACCTTGCAAGGTGAATAAAGTGCATAAAGTTCATACAGGGGCTGATGGGTCTCTTCCAGAGGAATCACAGGATCTCAATTACTGACCCAAAATATATATACTGTGATTATAATAACAAGAAAAATATACAGTTCTTACCACAGGTAGCATCTTAAAAATGTCCTCTGTAATGAGAATAGTCTTTTTACTGTCCACTTCATAACTCATGTTACTTCCCAGTGGGCTGTTGTTTTGAGAAGCAATAAAATTGTGAACTGCATCACAGCAGGAAGCTAATTCTGACCTGCAAAAAACACAAACAAATAAAACCTGCTCGAAGAGAGGCAAATATACAGAAAAGCAGTACTAGAGAACCAGATCAATGAACACCAGTTTGAATTAACTAGCAGCAAAAGGCTATATTAACCTTCTATGACTTCATTTCCTTTGACTTTGCTAAGCAAGTCCATTTTCACAGCAGATGTTCAGCAACTAATCAGAGCAAGAACTGATAACTTTTTATCTCTTGGCCTCTTTTCCCAGTGAGAAAAGTTGTAATCAATCCCCTCGATATTATTAATTGCTAAGATTAATATAGAAACACTGAGAGACTTCAGTCCCCAAAGAATTAAAAATTTTATTTTCTCCAATATTGAACAAGTGATTGTAAGAAACTAGAAGGCTGAAGAAGAAAAAAAAAAAAGGAAATAAAAGAGATAGAGATGGAAGGTACTGGCAGTGGTACTCAGTGAACATCTAGATGGTTGCAAGCCAATTAATTAATAATTAATTTCTGCAACTGTTCATCACAATTTTCCTGTGCACAGTACCACAGGTGTTAAATAAATTACATCACAACTCGCACACAAAGAAGACAGATGTGCTAGACAGATAGCCTAGCTGCTCCCCAAAACACCTAGCAGAAGTCCTTAAATAAATAAAAATGGAGGGGATTCACTCAAACCTTTTGTGTGAGTGCAGACTATTACTCATCTTACATTTCCTGTTACCTCCAAACCTATAAAAATATTATGTGTGCAAACATTCTACATTCTTAACAGTAAAATTAAATTAACTTAAAATCCCCGTCAGACCTTTGAAATCAGACCCAAAACACTGTAATTCATTTTGCTATAGGCAACAATGTTCTCTCTGCTGCCATGGGATCTGATTTTCAGACTGTAAGGCTGAAATATTCATGGACAGACATTATGTATCAATTGCTAGGACACAGCTTTCTCATTATGTGAGATACTAAGAGAACTACTAACAATTTAGAGGAATTACTTTTATAACAAAATTTTCCAGAATTTTGAAAATACCACATTGAAGGTTAATTGAGAAGAAAATAATTTACCATTAGAGCCAAAGGAATAGAAGTTTTATTTCATACTGTTTCAATGTGTAAAGTAAAACAAATTGTTGAAACTAGTTAAATATTAGAAGCCAAACTCTTCCTGAAAGTGAGCTGACTTTAATAGGGTAAGACACAGCTAAGAAAAGTTGTTTCATTTCACTTTATCAACAGAGACAGTGTAGACAGAGAAAATACAACAATAACAAAAACAGTATTATTATAAATATTATAAAATATTACTAATAATAATGATTTAATGTTTCTGATGTAACTGAAGCATAGTCCAGCACATAGAAGAACCTAAAGATTATGTCTCCTGCAAGACAGGGAAAATAATGAAAAGGTCTGGGATAACTCTCCATCTCACTTCTCTTGAAAAAATGGTCACAATGAGGAAGGAAGGAAGGAAGGAAGGAAGGAAGGAAGGAAGGAAGGAAGGAAGGAAGGAATTCAGTTGTCAGACGACTTACTGGCATATATTAACACATTTTGAATACTGAGTTTCAAAACTCCTCCAAGGCAAGGTTTCCAGATGTGTGAGGAACATTGGGAAAGACTGAGTGCTGGGATGGCACAGATCTGAAACAACCAGGAAAGTAACCAGGAAATGTCACTCCTGAGAGAGGAACCAGTAAGGTTCAGATCTCCATAACCTGCATTTGACTCCATTCCCTAAACATGGTGACTCCCACTGCCCTGCTCAAAGCCTTAAGGGGCAGGGAAGATCTGTGGCTAATGAGAACCATGAGGTCCAAGGCTGCGGATGGAACTGCGACTATGCTCTGTGGTCAGGAGACACCCACATGGTGAAAACAATTCTCTGTGTGTATATAGTATCCTATTTAAATATATGGCAAAGTAAAAAGGGTGCAGTAAGGCAGTAGAGTCAAATGACAGTGTCTGGGAACACTGGATGTGTTCAATAGAACCACTGGTTTTTGACTGGAGCACACTGGCTTTTCTTTCTTGTCACTTTTTGCTATAACCAGCTCATTTTAATTTTAATAAATACTGTAGCAATAAGAGGATTCAGATCTCACTGTCAAGTCCTGAGGGCACCCCAAGCCTCACTACTGTCCAGCACCCTAGAGCTGCCCCTATCCTGTCTAGGGTTCAAGAGCCTATTTCAATCTTCCGAGCCATCCAGCACTGCCCCAGCAACACCACAGCAGGGCCAGTCTCCAGTTGTGTCCATCCTGTTCCCAGGGAGGTGCCCTGGGCTAGGGCTGCCCTATTCCTGGCTAGGGGTGGGATGAGCCCAGCTACCAGTTTCTGCTCTGCTGGCCAGGTTACTGCACTGGGATCCCACACCCTGTCCTCAGGAAGCACCTGTCCTTCACTGCTCCCTGGCACTCGCATGGAAATGAGGAATCACATAACCCTTAATGTTGATTTCCTTGTTTATTTTCTTCAAGCTAAATGAAGCAGGTCTAAACATTATCTGTGTCAACACTGCACATTCAGAGGAGAAGGAATAATGCCAGAATATTCCTGCCAACTTTAGCAAAACAGCTCTTTTGTGTGTGATGGCTACCAGACCCTGAAAAGGCAAACTGATAACAGATCCTATTCATTAATAGAGATGACATGTTTTTGCTTTTTATTACTCATTCCACAAGAACAAGTGCTTCAATACAAGCAGAAACAGTGCAGAAGAAAAATAAATACCAGAATTAATAAGAAAGTAAAAGTTTAAATTAATATTATGGATTCACTGAGAAAGTAAAACAGAGCCAAGCTAGTCCAGAACAAGAGAATACATACTGAGTAATGACAAATACTCTTAGAGTATCCATTTAAAAAATTGGTGATAACAATAGAAACATTTTACTTAGATCAAATCATGACACAGAATCCCACTGTGCTCAAGCATCCCTGTACAGAGCTCCAGTGGGAATGCATGTAACCTGCAGACAGCAATAACCATGGCAGTGTGTTCAGCAATCTGCTCACACAGGATTTTGTACAAGCTCTGACACGTGGTAATCTACAACTGGCAGCAAATGATGAGGAAGGGGTAGAGACTGGGCAGTTCAAGCAATCTATTACTGCAATTTCATCAGAGCATTAATGTCATTCATATGTGCTCTGTCATGAGGTGATGACTCACTGAAAAGAATTTACTTCCTAAGATTAACACATGTATCCTATAAGAGCTCTATGCGAGGAGTTGCAAAGCCAAGACATCATTTTAACTCATGTATTATGCCACCTGGGGAGAGGGAAACTTAGGATGATGGAATAAGAAACAAGGGTCAAATCCTAACAGCACCAAACAGAAGTAACTTCTTTTTTTTTTTTTTTACTAGAAAGTGATACACATTGTCTGACTGGGAGAAAACCCTGAGGTATGGAAGCAGCTCTTGGAAGATAGGATGCTGCTATATAGGCCGAGCATTCATCTCATAGCTTTCAGAACATGAATGTAGCTTACAATAAAAAGGTTTAAGCTCAGCTTTTATTAGAGACTGTGGACTTGCCTAGAACAAAGGATGTTTATGATTCAGTCACGCATGACAAGTCCAGACTGAAGGTGATGCTTGAGTCAAGGTACCCAAGTTTTGTAGGGCACTAGTTTTCGAAAATATCTCCTCTGTACCAGTGGTTATTACTGACAGTTTATTATTTGGAGAAGCCTTTTCCTCCAGCATTTCTCCTGCTAGGATTTAGAAGCTGAGTGATATCTAAGAGTTATTTTTAAATCCTGAGGCATAACTCCAAACACAGATATTTCTTATGCCAAGATAAGCAAAGGGATTTGATTGCATTATCTAGAACAGTCACTTGTAATAAGTGAGGAACGAAATCAGAACCTGATAAAAGACTACACCATTTTGACTGGTAATACATATCTCATAGGATTGAGGAAGTATAGTCATAACCTTAGTCAATACCCTAAGTGAAGGAGTGTGCTGCATTTGTCTGGGAAGTTTTGATCACATCAGTCAACATAGAGTCATACACAGTTGCACTGAAGAATGTTTTTTGTTGCTCAGCATACACTTTCACTGATTTTTTTCCTTGATGGCTGAAGGATGAAGGCTCAAGTTTGTATTGTTTTTCAGCTGGTACAGAATTTTGAGCCTATGGCATTCAAATAATTTCTTCAGGTTCATGGCCACTGGAACCAATGGAAATCCTGGTTTCTTGAAGAAAGTTACCAAAATTGTATGGCTTGTGAGATGAGCCAAATAATGTTATTTTCCAACTGCTATGCAGTTTTTCCATGCTGAACTGCTGGCAGTAACAGAGGGCTGTTGCCTTAATGACACGTTTCCAAACTTTTCTGCATAACAAACCCTTCATATGAATCGTGCACTGTATTTAGCGGAATACATATGCTCTAAATATGCTGATAGAGTTTCTTTGCAGCTCCTGCAGTTGCTCTGTAGCCAAGATAGCAGCAAAATTAGCTACCTTGGTTCTGTGCTAGTATGAATATATGCATTTCAGCTGATTCAGGCCTTCTGTACAAGCTGCACATGCCTGCTGAAAAGTCACAGTGTGCACACATCCTGAAGATACTGCAAACATCTCAACATCTTCAACAACTCAAGGTGGACCAAGCACAAGGGCTAAAACAATCAATGGTTAGTCAAGGCTTAGCAGACTCTCTCAGCTGGTTCAAAAGCCATCACTGTCCTTACTCCGAGTGATACTGGAAGAATCTATAATGAGTGTGGAATTTGTCTTTACGCAAAAAGCTTCTGCAGTGTTTAAAAACTTCCCATTCCACCAAACTTTTTCCATTGAAAATGCTTCAGTATGATACCAGTGCCTGTGAAACTGTGGCCTGAGGGCATTTGTCATTGCTGAGAACAGTGTGAAATATTTCACTGTTATGCATTGGACTAAACTGGGGTGGTAGGAGAAAAATGGGTGGTGATAGATACTGCCAAAGTATCAAAATATTCAAAACATCGTTAAAATAATAGATGCTCAACTGT